ATGTGCTCAGGATGGTGAGTAATGGGTCGTCAAAACGCCACGTGTGTTACTATTACCACGAGGACATCGGGTCGTTTCATTTCGGTCCGAAACACCCGATGAAACCACAACGATTGGCCGCGATACACAGTCTGGTGGTGAATTATGGTCTGCACAGGGACATGCTCGTGCTGAAGCCGCCGAAGGCATCGTCGATCGAGATGGAGAGATTCCATTCGAAGTTAGTTGGGGGGGATGAGAAGGTGGACGGGAATTGGGTAGATGGAATTATTTTTAAGTCTAGACCGGAGGAGATGTTTTTATTATTATTATTAATTACTGTTATAAATATTCTGATGATTATTATTGTTAATGAGTGGTATTATAGGGATTATATAGAGTTTTTGCAACGTGTCTCACCGAAAACAGCTGATCAGTACGAGCACTTGTTTGCGCAGTTCAACATTGGAGAGGACTGTCCAGTGTTCGATGGCATTTACGATTATTGTGCCATCTCGACGGGGGCATCGCTTAGTGGTGAGTTGTATACGATATTGTTGTTTACTTTACGTAATATTACCGGAAATAATTGAATAGGGTGTAGAAAAAAATCTGCAAAAAATATTGACCTTAGGCGGAATCGAACCCTTGAGGTCTGGTGGCAGGATCAGGTTTGGTGTTATTTTGCACTGCGCTAAACGGTTAGTGTAGTGGTTAGCACTCTACGCTAGGGCACTTGAGGGCGGGGGTTCGATTCCGGGCAGGGGTGGTTCGGTTGTTTTTGTGATTATTTGTGATTGTCGTTGTTTGTTTGTTATTATTATTGCTTTATTATCAGTATTATTTATTATTATTGTTGATTGTTTGTTATTATTATTTATTATTATATATAATAATTATTATTGTTGTATAGGTGTGGCACGATTAAATCATGGACTGAGTGATATAGCGATAAATTGGAGTGGCGGGCTGCACCATGCGAAGAAACGAGAGGCGTCGGGGTTTTGTTATGTGAACGATATTGTGATCGGTATTTTGGAGTTGTTGAAGTACCATCCGAGGGTGTTGTATGTGGATATCGATATACATCACGGAGACGGCGTGCAGGTGGGCTTATTAATTAATTAATTATTATTATTGTTATATATTATTGTTATTGTTATATATTGTTTATTATTATTGTTGTAATACACTTTTATTTTGTGATATAGAATAGTTTCAGGAAGCCTTCTATTTGACAGATCGTGTGTTGACAGTGTCATTTCACAAATATGGTAACTACTTCTTCCCGGGGACTGGGGATATGTACGAGATCGGGCA